AAAATTGCTTTGAAGGATGGACTAGGTGCTGGCATTGGTGCATAGCTTCCCAAGGGGAGTACTTTGAAGATGACTATAGTGATATTCAGCAACGAGGTGTGTAGCACTTTTTCTAGGATGAGTTCGTGAACTTAATTGTCAGACCTTGTATATACAATGTTTTGGTTACTGTTTATTATTTTTTAATCAGTAAATAAATGGAAAGACCATTTTCAGCCCATTTCATACACTCTCGATGAAACCGCCTTTGGACCACTGGTACTTGAATAGCTTTTCCAGTGCAGTTATATCCTTGGGAACTGTTGACCCATTTGTTTACGTCTTTTAAAGTTACAGAAGCACATTTGAAAATGTTTTGCCACAGATTTATTTCATGACTATATAATTAAAGCCAAATGGCACCTCGTTCTTCAGTAGCTTTCTGAATCTGTTTCCTACGAAGCTGGGAGAATGACACTGACTCTCCAAAGCGGCCGGGAGGGTTAAATTAGGTGACGTTTGTGGGAGGTCCTGCAGCACAGTTAGTTACCCCGTTACTGCCTTATGAAAGGCTCTGAGCTGTGGGTTGACATCAACTATTGTACATTTTAATTATCTTTAACAGTGTTTGAAATTCGTGTAAACCGTCCCGTGAGATAAATGGACAGAGCATGTAACAGGCACAGCTGAAAGTGAGTTCCTGCCGCTCTCTTTAATGCTCATTAAGATATTTCACAGGCAATCTTCATATGTCACTTGGGGTCCTTCTGCCTTATGCCCAGGGCCCGTCACTGCACGTGTGCGTGTTTATAGCCGATGGATCGTGTGTGGTGTCTCCTGCACACTGTGGTTTGGGGTCCTGGCCCTCGCAGTTGCGTTGGTGTTTGAAGCCCAGCCGCTCAAATGCGGAGATCCCGGGGTCCCGGGAGAGAGGCAGAAACCGCTCTGTGCGTGGAGAGCCTGGGAGACCGTGTTCCCGTGGTCACTGCTGGGTGCTCACCTTTGCTGTGCGGCTTCCTGATCCCAAGGCCATCCTTGGGTAGAGGGCTGCAATTCACCCTACCCTGACAAAGCTCCAGGCCACCGCTCCCTCTGGGAGCTCACTGCTCTCTTGTTCAAGCGCCTGGAAAGCCGGCCCAGCCCCCGTGTGTGGCCTCTCAGCTCCCCTGGTTTGTCCTGCCCACCTTCACCGCTCAGACGTGGGAGGTGTATTTTAGGGGCGATGTGTGCTTGCTTGTTTTCCTGAACAGTTGAGTCTGTGTGGCACCTTTAGAGGCTTCCTTTATGGCTGTCTGTATAGGGCAAATCCTGTAACAACAAATATAAACTTGATGTCGGTTATTCGCCAGCCGCCGTGGCAGCGTGCAGTGAGGACGTGCCCACTGCCCTGCCTGCCCCTGGCCAGTACCCAGGCTGCTCTCCGGCTGGAGACAATGCACAGCACGGTGATGCCAGTCAGCACCCCTAACCTCCAAAGGACCGGCACAGGGTCCAGGGCTTCCTCCCGCTGTCCTGGAGGAGACCCTCACATCCCTCTTCTCAGCCGTGAGCTACCCCCCGCTATCCCTTCACTGCGCCCATTCCCACTGCTGAAAAAATAAAAAGCAACCAGGAGACGCCCCGCCCCTCCCTTACCTGCCTGGCCTGCACCCAGGCGCTCTGCTGGATTGCCTGTGGCCGGCCCTCCCCCTGCCCACCTACAGCCACCTCTTTAGCCGTTGTCCCTTCTCTCAGAGTTGGCCCCACTTTCTGGCTCTTCCTTCTGTCTGCCACATCCCACTGACTCTCCAGTCCGCCCTTGAGGCACAGGCCCCCTTCCTGAGTGACTGCACAGTAGTGACCTGGCACTTTTGGATTGCTGGAACCGACATTTCATTTAAGGTGCCCAGTGCTCATGAGGTGAGCAGTAGCTCCCGTGGAAGGGGGTTCCATAATCAATAAGGTGACCGGGATGGCTGGTCACCAGTGATGCAAAGCTAAACGCTGTTCAGGGATTCGGGCAACGTGCCGAGTATGGTCAGTAAGGACGTAAAGGTGTTTTCTCGTGACGGCTCCCCCGAATCTTAGACTGTGGCTTCCCATGCAGATGGTCTGTTGTCTCATCCCCTCTGAAGGAGAGCCTTAGGGTCACCTTTCTGCGAGGTTCTGTTGGTTCCATCGGGAAACAAGTGTCAGAGATGTGAGCAGGAACTAGTGAGAGGAACTGTCCAGCATTCCCGAACTCACTCACAAGATGACTTGAAGACCTTGTTGATCTTACTTAGTGTGAGTGAAACTGCCGAGCTGTTGCATGTTGTCGGCCAACAAGGGCAGTTCGCCCTCGTGAGGTTTCTTGTCAGTCTGGCCCCAGTGTTGGGTGGCCTGATGCAGTCATCCGTTTTCATCGTGAATTTAAAAAGTGCAGGTTTGACAATGTGTGTATACTTCAGAATTTCCCCCAGGTATGTTGACTTAATTACTGAGAAATCGCTGAGATATAATTTTTCAAAGTTTCAAAAAGTAATTAAGGCCATCGTCTTTAGACAGGACGGTCCATGAGCAGAGACACCAGATAGGAAGTGATGTAGGTAGGCAATCAGTGGCCCCTTCTCAGGGCTAGTCCAGAAGGTGACATGCAGTATTCTTAGTGTGGGGGGTTTTTTTGGGGGGTGTGGCTAGGGGGGGACTATGTGTCATGACCTCTTCACTTTTTTTTCCGTCGCAGCATGTGCTGGCGTTTAGCTGGAATAACTTCTTTGGCATTTGCAGCGTTGGAGAGCGAGCTATTGTTCCCAAGCAGCTGACTGGGTCAGATTTGGGGTGGGGTTCTCATGCTGTGAAGTTCATAACCAGCCCTTTCTGGCTTTCAAATATGAATTGTAATCTGTCTCATTGTTCTTTGTTCTCCCCCACCCCACCCTTATTTAAAACAGGCTGCAGACACTTTGGCTGTGAGGCAAAAGAGAAGAATTTATGACATCACCAATGTCTTAGAAGGAATTGACTTGATTGAAAAAAAGTCAAAAAACAGTATCCAGTGGAAGTAAGTTACAACCAGGACTGTCTTCTAAAACCTTTATTTTTCTCTCCAGTGCTCTGTGAAATCTGACCTTTCTGCCCCGAGTCCTCAGTTTCAGCCCCCACTGTCATCACTTTTCCTTGGACCTGCCCCGAGCTTCCCTGTGTCCCTGGATGTCACTGCCGGGTTAGGTCGTTCTTTGCTCTCTCTGCCATTTCATTTACACTCTTAGAATTCAGAACTTAAGTGCTCTCTCAAGCCACTCATTTGGCACACCCTGTATCCTGCTTCGTATTATTAACCCTTCTCTAACCCCTCTCTGTTTATCAGCCAATTAACTAATATAAACTTAAGAACAGGAACTACGTCTTATGTACCGTCCAGATCATAGTTGATTGAAATGCATGTTGTCATTTGTTAACTGCTGTATGATTGTGTGTTTGAATGTGACAAGTATTTTCTGTTCTTTAAAATTGTCCCCTTTAGTCTTAGTTTTTAGTGGTTTTTTTGTTGCCAAAATATTGAAAGGCTATGATTTATTTTACCTGCACCTCGGTCTGCCTGTGAGACTCCCAGGTGTGGCTGTTTGGCTGTGACATTGTTTTGGTGCCTCAGTCACCAGCCCGACCTTCCAGGTGACAGAAACCACTCTAAAACATACCAAGAATTTTTGTAATTTGACTGTTCTTGGGAGCAAGCCTCTTCAGAGGTATGGCTTGACATTTTCTAAGGCTTTGAATCCTTGGTCTTCAGAGGAGTGTAAAGGTTTTTATGACTATAAAGATCAAGTGATGTTAACCGGGGCCCGACGCTGGTACTAATTCTCGTCTGTTTTAAGAGGCGTAGGCGCTGGCTGTAACACGAAAGAAGTCATCGACAGATTAAGATGCCTGAAAGCTGAAATTGAAGACCTGGAACTGAAGGAAAGAGAGCTTGACCAGCACAAGCTGTGGCTCCAGCAAAGCATCAGAAACGTGATGGAGGACTCCATCAACAATCGATATCCTTTGACATAAGTAGGATGGACGGACAGACAGCTGGAGGGTGTGTGTTTACAAGCACATTCCCGCAGGCTGAAGCCCGGCGCTTTATTCTACTGCGTTTAGAGACTTACGTTTCGGGAGTCGATGTACCATTTTAATTTTATAATATGTTCCTGATCATTCCTACAAGTATTTTAAAATGTTCCCTTTTTAAGTAGTGCATCTGCTAGCATCATTCCTGTGCTGCATTGAGAAAAGCAAGTCGCTGTCCGTCCGGCCCACCCTGATGGGCTGTAATGGGCCAGCCCGTGTGCTCAGGCCCTGCGGCCACTGCAGGTCACTGCAGAGCATGGGCACCCTTAGATCACTGCGTTCCGTGTGCTGACNGCTGTGCGGCTTCCTGATCCCACCGGGCCCTCGGCGGACAGCGCGCCCCGCTGCGGGAGAGACAAAACAGCAGCGGCAGAGCCCCTTCCTCGCCCGCCTCTCGTCGCCCCGGTGGTCGGAGGGGACTTGCGTTCGGCACCTGACGCGGGTTGGCCGTCGCGCGAAAAGAGGGTGTTTTGTCACTTTCACGCGAGGCCGTGGGAGCGCCAGCAGGCTGTACTGTTCCGTGGCGACGCGCGCTTCGCCGTCGGCTCCCGTGCAGGGGGGCTGCTGGGGCCACAGAGTGACCCGGCGGTTCCCGGCGGGGCTCGGAGGGGTGCGCAGCGCCTGGAACCCGGGGTGGTCACTTGCGGGAAGTCATCCAGCGCAGCAAGTTTCAGTAAGAACCGAAGCCTGAAAAACCAGCCAGAGAACAAAAAGCGCTAAGGAGGGCGCAGTCCCTGCACACGCCTCCCGGGCGGGCGGGCGGGGCCCGGGGGTGGGCCCTGGACCTGGCCTGGCTACCCACCGGCTGCAGCCACCTGGGCTGGGCCCGCGGAGCCCCCCGCATCCTCCAGGACCCCCTGAGCGCAGGGCCTCGCACCCGCCCAGGGCGGGCGCCTTGAAGGGCCTCCGCTTGCCCTGGACGCAGTAGGTGCTAAGTAAGTGATGCTGAGTTGTCCCACTTGACACCAAGGAGGCGTGAGGCACCTGTTTTGCATTCGGGGAGGTAGTGTCTGCCGGCTTGTTTTCCAAGCGTTACTCCTGGAATGCCACCCCACCTTTGGAAATCCCTTGTTCTCTTTTTTTCCCACAGCCCCTTCCTCCCTCCCTGAGCTGCTTTATGACACACGCAGTGTAGTCTTTAAGGTGTCATGAGCCAACATGGATTCTGTTTAAGGAATGTCCCAGGACGTCATGAGGTCATCAGAGAAAGCAGGATGTTCCAAACACCGCGTGCAAACCGCGACTCAATATCTAGGAAACCTGCCGTAGCCTGTGATTTCAGGAAAAGCAATCAGGCAAGCTTGGGGTTTTCCAGATAAAACTGAACCCGGAGGATTGGCTCAGAGGGCTATACCCTCAACCTGCCTGGAGCATGAGGCGCTGTACCCCTAAGTCCTTTGGCCTCCCCCTGTGTCATCTGCCGGATGTCATGGGCTGTGGGCAAGAAGTGGATTTAATATTTTTTCACAATATTGTCTAATTCACCCTGGAACTTCCCTAAAAGTGCAGAGGTGTCTGCAATAATATTACGTCTTATTATATTAATGATTTTTTTTTTACTCCTAGCGGACCATTTGAGTATCATCCTTTTTTACATATATGTGGAAAACAATTTTTCCTTATTTACATATATTTTTCATTTATTTGCATATATATATATATAAAATCTTATACATGTGACCCTCTTACATTGAAATCTGTCCAATGATGTTTCTTCTGGTGCACCATTGTAAAAGGCCGTTCGGACACTTGACATTACATGTTGAGGATGGACTAACGCGGATAATTATAAAATTTCCTCTAATGTGAACTTATCAAGTCACATTGTTTCTTATATTCTTCTAACTTTGGGGGTCCGGGGGTTATTTCAGCATAAGTTATTGACACTTTTGAGTTATACACTTGATATTTTTTTAAAAGCAGTTAATGAAACATCACTTTTGTGAATATCATGAATATAAAATTATATCAGTCTTCACGTCCAAATGTCTTGGAGAGCCATAAAATATCCAAGACCACATAAATGCTATTTATTCTATACTATATATAGTCTATATATTATATATAAATGCTATATCTCCATATTATATATGAATATAATGCTGTATCCTAGTGATGCATTTCTTGAGTAAGACAATAAAAGTAAAGTTCCATTTTAAATAGAAAGCTTGTGCATTTCAGAAATACTGAGTATAGTTTGGGGCAGTGAAAGCACGGAGGCGTTTTTAGGAGAGAGAACTTTGGGGCAGAATGCTGAGTGGGAATTAAAGCACTTGCATGCTGCTTCTGGAGGGGGCCCTTGTGTCCTTGAAGTGAGTTATTTATTCCTTGGCTTTTAATTTCCTTGCAGCCTCAATGTCCCGCCAGCCCCACTGCAAGCACACAGCAGCCTCCTCCAGACACTCTTTCCCCTTGGCCCCCACCTGAGGCAATCTCTCATTTTTCAACCTCTTAGGACAGTTTATCTCTGCCCTGTGGCACTTGCATTTTTTAAACCTCATTCTGCAGTGTCCCAAAGCCTTAGATATACAAGGTCTGACAAGTTTGTGAACTTGTTGCAGTGATGCTGCTAACCCCTTTTGATATCAGAGGGGTTATTCATTATGAATTTGTACCAACTGGACAAACAGTTAACCAA